AATACCACATACCTATTAATGTATATATTACGAATTATAATATTTGTATATTGTATAGCACTTGGAGTAATTTTCATTTTTTGTAGAATATTGGACTATCTGACTATAAAGTATAAATTATAATATAATATTTTACCACTATGACCGTCATAGTTTTCTGAACTAGTGTCTACTACATACTACAGTACTACTGTCTACTGTCTAATGAGTAATGAGTAATGACTAGTGCCTACTGTCTAGTATAAAAAATAAAAAAATAAAATTAATTAAAATAATAAATATAAATAGTATAAATACTATAAATCTGTTTAAATGTATAATGCCAAAACCTCAAAAAAAGTCTGCAGGGCAGCGCTCAATTGTACAGCGGCCAAATTTTAAAATGGATTTGCCTCACTAAGCGGAATGCTGATAATGTATAGTTGTCCGACCTTATCTTCTAAGACCGTGGCTTTGACCATATAAGCCTTATGGCTTATCATATGCTTGTATAGGCACAATTATGTAGCCATCATGTTTAATGATATGACGTCACGTTTGGGCAAAACAATTTCGAGTTATTATTAATTTGTTTATTAAATTATTTTTCACATCTAGCTTTCATAGTTTCAAACTGCTTTCTTTGAAACTTGAAAGTATTGTGTTTTTAAATGTTTGATGATAAATGACCATGGTTTTATTATACCTAATGATAGTTTTTATTTTTCTATAGAAATCATAGTGCAGTCTTCATTGTGTATGTTAAGACCATTTTTTTTTTTAAAGTAGCGTTTATTGAGTTTATTGAGTAGCTTATATGGTCGAAGGTTCATAGTATGAACACAGAATAACCAGAAGAGACACTTATTCAGTTTAACTTTAACATGCCGGGTTCTTATGGACTATCATTGCTATCATGGGGTACAGATTTGCAACACCTGGTGGAATATCAGTGCTGCCGGTAGAAAGATAATTCTCATTATTCTTTGTTTCTAGCCCGGCTGTTATTCCCCGAACAGGGGCAATTACCTTTAGCCTAATAAGTAATAAAGTCGTAAATTGCAATATACATGGATACCCGATACACTGATATTCCACCAAATTGAATAGTATGTTCCCGATTTTTGAGTGCTCAGCGTCCAGTCAGCGAGTGTCCATTCTGGTT